CGCAAGCACTCTGGGTCATTGATAGCGAGCTGATCTACGCAACAAGGAATGCCACTTCCACGCATCTACACCAGGGTGCTACACTTGCTCTTCAGTCGGACGAACAGCTCAACACGCCTGGTGCAAACGGTAGTCCAGGTTTCAGCACTTACTCAATGCTATACCCTCGCGACACCGAGTTGAGAGGCCCGGCACGGACTCTGCCCTCCTTCCTCGCGCAGCTGTTCATGGCTGAGGCCTTTGCTGTGCCCGACACTCGGGTTCGCGCTCTCGAGCCACCTGCTGGCGTTGACCCAGAGTCGTTCTCTGCATATGCGTTCTACGTCGACGATCACTTGTCGAAGCTAGCACTCGTCAATATGAAGCCTTTCTACGCCAACTCGACGGATGACTTCTCGGTACACGTTGATCTATCGAGCGCTGTGGGTTCCGGTGGCGGATGCTTAGGTGTAAAGAGATTGACGGCACCATTCGTGAACACTGGGAATAGCTCTTTGACATCTTGGGCTGGACAGTCATTTCCTCAGGGTGAGCCGATGGGCAACGTGGTGGTTGAAGCGGTTGGGACAGATGCTGTAGTGAACGTGAGGGGTAGTGAAGCAGTACTTGTGTTCTTTGACAAAGACAGCATATATGGTCTATAGATGTCAGGATGTATACGTAGCTCCTAGTGTTAAAGAATAATGGAGGAATTGCGATAGCAGTTGACAATTACGTACAGCGCGTGAAACGTGCATCTGTCGCGCAATTCCTTCTGCGAGATGGAATTGATCAGTCTAGGCTCTAGAATTGAGATGCTGGGATTGGCTGATCGTCACGGCGTTGCATCGTGGCTTAAGCCAAGCTGCGCTGGTGGAGACGAGTCGCGATCCTTTGGCCCCTGTCGCTGGCTAGCGTATGCCCAGGTGTATCCTTTCGCTCACGTCAACGCAGCTTCCATCGAGGTCCTCTCACCAACATCAGCTTTCCATCTCACTTCATCATCCCTTGAAGCTCACAATAGCGTCCAATCAAAGACATGCACTGATGGTGTCGCTCGGGGATCATTTTCGGCCTTTGTGCGGGCCGGAAGCCATTGCCCAGCCACGGATCGCATGGCAGCAATAAGAGACGAAACACGGCAAGCCTAATTACGCCTGGCCACGCCACCAAAACTTCCTGCAGAGGTCAAAATTATACCGATCATATCAGAAGGAGCATACAAAAGACTGTTGCATCACCTATAGGCACAAGCGTCCTGATTCATCCATTGACTCCTACGCTAATGTAAAGTATATGCTTCATAAAATCAAAAAATATGCGGATGACCTTTGAAATTCGACGTCACACGGTCGCTAGATTTATGCGCAGTCCCGTCCCTCTGAGAGTCTCTACCACACTTCCTATCTTCAGCATGAACTGCGCAGCTTCGTAGGAGAAGCGCTCGTAATCACCATCTCCCAGAGACCCTTGCGCTAAATCGACTTCGACTACGACCTCAGTACGAGCGGTCTTGATGACAGTGAGGCCCTCAATGGTTTTGCAATACCGCCGCTCTTCAAACAGCCGCTTTTCCGGCAGCAGGAAGGCAAAGTCAAGCGGCCGAATCTGTATGTGCAAGCGCCTTGCGTAATCCGCTGGAACCATTCCCAGCCCGAAACCGTCCGTGTCAAGAAATGGTTTGAGCAGAAAGAGCTCGTGATGGGCAAACTTGAATGTACGTGTCCAGTAGTAGCATTCGAGCAATTCTTTAGCAACCTCACTACCCAGGCCTCCTGCACTCATATAAGCTGCGGTGGGGTCTTCGATCCATTGATAGGAATGCTGGCCGCACGCCTGTCGGATGAGGTGCGCGAAGCGTCGGCCGTTTCCGGTTGCTGTGCGCCGAACGATGACTTCGTTGTCATAGGATCCCTGGACGCAGAACGTATACACCCGGTTGCGGAGCTCACGTGGTAGACGTGTATAGATGTCTGAAGCCAACTCTTCGACTCGAGGTGTGCGAGGATTTTGGCTGTCGTTTCTGGCAAATTAGTCCTGACCGGGTCGTAGTCGCATTCGTCACTCACTGCTTCTTAGGTTGCTCCACAAGGACGTCGCTGTTCCATGCAAAATTCTGCTGTCGCATCATCTCAAATCCGTATGAGACGTCGTCGAATCTGTCCATGACCATCATGTTTTTCTCTGTGATCGACAACGCTATCGGAAAGTATGTTTTGATGGCATGCTAGTTCCTAGGATATATACTCTAAAGCAACGGTGTCTCGCACAAAAGTCGAATTCACTTCGCAAATGCACACAGGTAACCACGTGAGTGCTAACTGGCAACGATGCTTTTCGCGAGTGCTTTCGCGGTACATCCTACACTAGTCTGGCCGCCACGCGAAGTAATCCGGATTAGGAAAGCATTGCGCATGGCACGGATCCTGTGGGAAGCGAAAACAGCAGCAATCACTTCAAAGACGCAACGTCTGGCAGCATAAGCCCGAAAGCAACGCCGTAGTCGCCGATATGAAATGACCCGAGTTGAGGCCTGACTGACCGCCTTAAACACCGAGCTCGCCGGACGCATGTAGGTTCTGCGACAGCTTCGCAAAGGCTCCTGCTTTGTGCGAGACCCTCTAACATTAGTTGCACATTGTAAGCATCTGACATACAACCCAGCCCTCTCCATTGGATTACACGCACATCCCTTTGGCCCCTCTTCGCCGCCCTCGCCGAACTGAAGTGTGCATTGGTGTGAAGGTGATTATGGTCACGTGCTTACGCCCCACTCTTTAGGTACCTACCCATGGACACCGGAAGTCCTTGTGCGTTCCGCCCGTTGATGACCTGGGACCCAACACATTTCCCGGGAAAGAGCTCAATATACCAGATGCGAACCATCCGACGACTTTAGTACACCCACTACGGTTCGGACCGCGGATTGGCAGAACCCCCGCATGCGGCACAGCACTCTCAACAATAACGGGAAGCACGATGATGGCACACAATTACAGTCGATCGAGGACCCCATTTCTATCGAGGTTAGCTGTAGGCGACGTTTGATGGCATCTGACATGCGTTTGCTGTGCCACATCCAGGTAAGACGGCGCTTACATACGCCCTGAATCGCAATCCGCTCACACCGTAAGCCGCACACAATTTGTCGCCAATCGATCGCGAAGATTAACGCGACCCCTCTGACCCTCTGAATCCATTTCTCGTCGTATCCGCCATCGATTGGTCAGGAGTAGATGTCCTCGCACTGCACGTCACGACTTTTCTCCACCAACATCCATCACAACATCAGCAGTAACCGCGATGAAGATCTGTCACTACAAATGGGGACCGTGCCACGTTCTTACCGGGATTCATCCACACCTTTATCTCGACATCGAACCGGGTATCGTGTCCTCCACACCCACACCCTCTCGGGAACGTCCTCTTCGCTTATAGCACGAATCCTTCTGCAACTCAAATTATCCTGCGGCCCCATCTTAATCCATGCCCTCCACTACACGTCTCTGGACGTTCAAAGAGATCATCTCCGCGCCGGAAAAGTACTAGAGCACGTCTCGAGCAGTGAACTCCGCCCTCCACCGCGTGTGATGGTAGTGACACGACTTCTTGGCGATGCTGTTGATAGTGGAGAGGCTCGTACGGTCCAACGAGTACCAGATCGTACACGCTGACTACGCTTACCACCCCTAGAAATGACGGATTTTCAGCTGCTAGAAGCAGCGCGGGCGAACGTGGCACGCACTAGCTTCATGTGTAGTCAAATCATCTGTGTCGTCGCATTATCTCTTGGCACTGACCCGGAGTCAATCGTCAGATTTGGGGCCTCCTCGTCCTCCATATCCCGTTCGCATACTCGCCCCTCCCGGTGGTAAAACTCACAATAGATCGCGAGGCATTAGCTGACTCGATAGGCCCTCACTTCGCATGCCCCGGTCAGGCAGTCTTGTGGCGCTCGCTTGGATCGAGAGATTTCAGGCTAGTATTATGCGGACTCAACCGGTAGTCCATTTTCGACGGTCTTCGTTATCACAACAACCTATTGGTAGATGATCAAGGCGCCAACACGGCCGAACACGATTGCTGGGGCCATGGAGGTCGGCGAGATACACATACCGTCGACTCAAAGGTTCGCTAGCGACTGTGGCAAGCGCCAGCGCCTAGTGCACTTCTTTCTCCCGCCTTGTTCACGTATGAGAAGCTCAGACGACTCACCGGAGTTCCTAAATGATCTCCGAGACCCCCTATGAAGGCCTGAGAAATTATGTACAATTTCTTATTTCCATTTCCATGATTGGTCATAGCTGTGTTACCAAGGGGGGATATTTCAACAAAGAAAATGTCCGAACGCAGCGGCAGGATCACAGCGTGATAATCGAACAAAGGAGGAGCAACATGATCTTCGACAATCTTAACATTTCAGTGTCGAAAACTCCTTTCTGGATGCCTAATGAGGTATTTCTTCGCGAGAGTACAGAATATAGGAACGCGAACACTAAGGCTTCACCATTTTCGCCCCGTCAGCGGCGTGCTATTGACGGCATACAAGCCGGTTTCGTGCTGCCACAAGGCTCGAAGTCTTCCGAGTAGGCCGCAGTTCGTTGGCGAGTGGAACTTGTTGGTGGCATACCAAGTATTCGCGAGTGTGCTAAGGCTGCAGCAGATCTAGCGAAATCACACCCATCTCATGTCTTACTCGCTAGCGGTAGGCTATTTTCACATCGCTAAAGGCAAAAGTAGTGCTCACTGGCCGGTGAAGACCTTTTCAGCCCGTAAATCACAAGGTTGTTCAGCTAGGCCATGGTAGACCAAGTCTTCGTATGGATGTGTTGAGCACTCCGGGCTACGGGTGAGTCAAGAGTGGCGGAGTCTGGACTTCACATTGCGAATGGGTGTAGGTGCGAAGAGCGCATCTCCTATGGGGTGACGGGACGGGTGTAAGGGGGTAGAGAGTGATAAGCTTACGCCCTCCTTGTCGCAGTTGGTTTTGATCCAAGGGGAAGATGTCTTCAGTGAACGGTATGTCACGCAGTAGCAAGAACGATGCTATATACATCATTGGCCTGGGCCATGAGTACCCGCCCCATTCGGTAAGACAGGAGCAGTTTGAGGACTTCTTGCAGCGCTTGTGCCCCGATGAAGTAACTTCACCAGCGTCAGTCATCCAGTGTCTTCCGTAGGAACTATTCGTCTAATGCTAATGGCCTCGCCAGTATCCAGAAGCTCATCCAGTTCAACAAGAAAACCAAGATCGTCTCCCGCCCAACTATCCTCGACTACACAGGATGGACCAAAGAGAACACTGCACCGCCGGATGCCGACTCCATCTCCCGAATGTTCCGGACAGAAGGTGTGCAGCTCACCACCTTGGCCTGCAAAGAGGCTATGCGAGAAGCTTGCCTTGAGCCCAGCGACATAACGCACACGGTAGCAGTGACTTGCACTGATCAGAGCAACCCCGGTTATGATCTCTTTGTATGCCAGGAGCTTGGGCTTGGTCCAAACGTGCAACGAGTGCTACTTCATGGCGTGGGATGCGCAGGCGGTCTATCAGCGCTGCGTGCAGCTGCTAGCATCGCCGCTGCTGCATCACAAAGAGGACGGCACGCCCGCGTCCTGGTGATGGCGTGTGAGATATGCAGTCTCTCTATTCAGGCAGAGGTCCAAGCGGCCTGTGAAGACGGCAAGCTACACGTAGCTCCAGCGCTATTCTCCGATGGCGCAGCGGCGCTAGCAGTATGCAACGGTCTTGCGCTGGAAGACAAGCAAAAGCCAGTGTTCGAGCTGAAAGATTGGGACAGTGTAGTTGTGCCGGGTACTTCGAGCTATATCTCGTACGATATCGAGAAGCATGGTATGTTTCTGTAGCGTCCAGTGTTGCGTTTCTGTTGCTTTGAGTTGATGCTAATATATTAGCAGGCATGATAGCTACTATCAGCAAGCACGTTCCAGGCACAGCCATCGACGCCATATTGCCCTTGTTCGATCGACTGCGTACCACCCTCGATACTACTCACGCCTCTGCATCCGTGACTCGCAGTCCGGCTTCGAACTTCGATTGGGCTATTCATCCTGGCGGTGCGACCATCCTACATGGGGCCAAGCAAGCTCTGCAACTCAACGACGACCACATCCGAGCCTCGCTCGACGTGTATCATAACTATGGGAACTCATCCAGCCCAACCGTGCTCATCGTGTTGGACAAACTTCGCCGAAATGGGGAAGGCAGAGAGAACATTGTTGCGACCAGTTTTGGACCGGGGGTTTTAGTTGAAATGTGCTTGATGAGACGATGCCGTCAAGACACTACAGCACCATCATCTCCATCTGGCGCACATACGAAGATGTATACTCTATGGCTATCTCTACACTCACGGCTGTCAAAGAGGTGGACCCAGATACAGCCAAGGGCCGGGAAAGGTATCAAGAGAAGGACGAGCGGGTATGCCTCAATTGTACATTAGTAAATATCTCCGAAATCAATGCATGCGTACGTAGAGAACGGTCTCGTGAAGGCTGCGTCGCGGTGGGTGCTGTTCGAGTGCACAGGTAGCGATTGGCTCTCTGCGAAGTGGGTCCGATGACGTCAACGCGTCTGGATCTTGAAGGGACGCGACTTGCTATGACCGCGTTCCTTCTCAAATTTTAGACACAACGCAACACGCATGGCCCGCACACGCTCGAATCAGCGATACAGCGAGCAAGCTGAAGCGGTTCCACCAGTTCTGAGTGATGATGATGTCAAAGAACCCGATGATCAGCTGGCGACACCATCATCTGCATCCTTCCAAGACCGACTGAAGAAGTTCCAATACACCGAAACGCGGACGGAGCAACGTACCGGACCACCATTCGAATCGCCGTTAAAGTCTAGCAAGCGCACTAGGACTGCTGTGAGCGCGGCTGTAAAGATCCCACCGGAACCTTCCCCACGACCGAAGAAGAAGAGGAAACCCAGCAAATATGCTGACCCATCCAAATACGCGCATCTATCGCCGCTGGTCGACATACTAGAGCCTAATCTGATTTGTGTCTTCGTTGGCACGAATCCAGGTGTTCAGACGGCTGCTGCAGGGCATGCTTATGCGCATCCCTCGAATCTATTCTGGAAGCTGCTCCACTCCTCAGGACTTACCGACCGTCGACTGAAGCCTGAGGAAGATCGGAGTCTTCCCGCTCTGTGTTGTATGGGTAATACCAACATTGTCGAGAGACCCTCCAAAGACGCTGCCGAGCTCTCGAAAGAGGAGACTGCGGCCGGTACGGCACAACTGGATGCCAAGTTCCTCAAATACAAGCCAGAGGCTGTGTGCATAGTAGGCAAGGGGATCTGGGAAGCCATCTGGCGGTATCGCTATGGCAAGACCATGGGCAAGAAAGATTTCAAGTATGGGTGGCAGGATGAGGAGCACAACATGGGCAAAAGCGAGGATGGCCAGGAAGAGCAGGATGCTGATGGCAATGTATGGAATGGGTCCAGGGTCTTTGTTACTACGAGTACGAGCGGTCTAGCGGCAAGTCTGAAGCCGGCCGAGAAAGAGGCTATCTGGAAACCCTTCGGCGAGTGGGTGCAGAAGCGAAGAGCCGAACGGGGCTTTGTGCCTCGGCCAGCGGAAGCATAGGAACCCGGTGACGACGTACCGTAAACCCAAGGGTTGTCAATGACGGTAGTCGTCGCTACTTTCGTGAAGGAGTCGACAGCGCAACGTATCAACTGTTCAAACGAGCGAAAAATCATCCATGTGTGCTCCTTTCGACTTCCACACTACGACTTCTACGAGCCGCTCTTCTGCTTTGTCCACCAAGCCATGCGTCGTCCAACAGTACGAAACGACGAGCTGTCATACGGATCGACCCGTTTGTTTGGTACTGACAATCCTGGGATCCCATTGCTTGTATCGAGATTGCGCCTCACCTGCGCCACAAGAAGTCGCTACATTGGTTAGTCGACTGCCCTCAAAGTCCTTTTACTGCCAAGCCGGCTCTCAACCAGAGTGACAAACATCGCTTTTCGGACCGCAGACTCTCCACTTGGTCGCCGACGGCGTACATGCTGACTTGGCGCCGGACGCATCCGCGCCGCCCAAGGTCTTCGGCATCAACACCACAGTAGCTTTCGGACCTCTTAGCGGTATTTCCGTCTTCGTGTCTGGCTTTACGCTTTACAAGTAGATTCGTGGCACGAATGTTGTAGGCATGATATCGTCAAAGCACCAGCTTCGTCGCTGCTGTCATGCCAAGGGGACGAACGACTGAGCCACTTCACTGGCCCGTCTAATATTGCCTGTTGAAAAGTGGCGCCACAGCTAAGCCATTCTAGTCACTAGCGTCCGGAACGAACGGCAAGCTCGCATATGCATCCCAACAGCACCTCACATGTGCCATTCACGAAAAGGTCATTTCAGCTCGCGCTTCTCCCGGACTAGTGGTAGGAAGTATCGAAAACCTATACGTGGGTTGTTAATTCACTGCATCTGGCAGTCTGAACAGATATGCTTGCAACACCGCACCACGGAGCAAAGCAGTGTAACTCGCATCGTTCGCACGCAGAACGAGACGTTATCAAGTCATGCGCCTTACATACCAAGACTTTGCATACGCGTATGACAAGGGTCGTGCGTCCATCGTCACAGCAGTGGCTTGCCTGGTCCCACTCATGCCTCAGCAAGCCCGAGCAAATGCCACAGCTACGCGCCCTGACTGCCACACTTGTGGCGCCGAGCAAAGCTCACCCGCAGCAGTCCAAAAGTACGGAACGTATACCGGCATGGACGCGGTGAATTACGATGAGCACGTTGGGTCGTGCATAGCCTCTCGCACCCTTTACCTCGCAGATCCGGTGTTGCCGTTTGCCGAAAGCAATAGCCAGGCGCGTCAAGACGTGCAATCTTAAAAGACACGGGTTGGTCCCCCTAAAAGTTCCACTTTGCTGTGCCACACATATCGTCTGCCACACTCCTCTGCCACAGTACACCCTCAACACCAGCCTCTCTTCACTTGCCACACTACGAGCTAGACGCTTCACCAGCCACGAGCCCGCATCCCTATTCCAACGTCAGGTCTACAACACCAAATTATTAAATATGAGCTACCCTGCTCCCCAACAACCTGGCTACTATGGCCCTCCGCAGCCGGGCTATGGGCCGCCGCCTCAGCAACCGGTAAGTCTAATCTATCATCATAACGTGCAATTGCAAGTTTGCGGTGATTCGTGGTGTGGCTGACGCTGTTCATGAATTAGATGTACTACCAACAAGGACCACCGCCGCCACAAGAGGAACCAAAGAAGGAGAGGGGATGCTTGACTGCTTGGTAAGTGTCTTCTTCCTTTTCGCAACACTGGCTGGGTGTTGCATAGTTACAGAAGATGGACAGAGCTAATGCGACGACTAGTCTTGCGACCTTGTGCTGCTGCTGGCTCTGCGGTGAGACATGCGAATGCTGCCTTGATTGCCTGGACTGCTGCGACTGCTGCTAGCCACGCTCACTACAACCTGCGACACGGTGAAGACGATGGTTTAGAGGGAAAGGGATGAATACACGCTCACTACGTTCTCTCGTTGCAAGGGCGCCGATATCCATGGGTTTTCGATGAGGGCACAACGGTGGAGAAACACAGATAATGGCCTTGGTTCGTCACTGCAGTGACGATGGAGTTAAGTGGTATTGCCTTAGTTTGTACAAATCTGAAACCGTTTTTCTTCGAGTCCGAGTGAGAGAATCACAAGTTGGCTGATCCTTCCTTCCTTGCACTATGCTAACAGTGCTCGTGGCTCACAAGTCTTAGAAAATACCTGTCGTTACACTCGTGATCCTCCCCTTCTCACACGCACCGATCGATCGATCGGCCGACGACCGAAATTCCTGCGTTTAGTCGTCGTAGTTCTCTTCGAGTTCCTCCTGATACTCCTCCTGCGCCTCGATGAGCTCCTCGCGCTTCTCCTCCATGGATTCACGGTCACTACTTGAGATGGAGTCACCGTCGGCGTCATGGGTGGGAACGGGAGGGGGCTCCTCAAAGGCCGGGTGGTTATCATAGTCATTAGGGTCTGCTGGGGGAGGAGCGCCATAGGCGGGATCAGCCCCGTAACCAGGGTCAGCACCGTAGCCGCCTGCAGCAGCTGCGGGGGCCGCCGCTGGAGGCGCATATGACTGCTGCTTCTCGTCGTCGCTGCTGTCGTCGGCTGGGAGATGTTAGTCGCGCTGCCGCATGTTATATATACTAAAGCAACATACCGAGTTGATGGCCAATGAAGGCACCGGCTGCGATACCTCCGACACCGGCGGCGGCGAGCATGGCACCAGAATGGCCCTTCTTCTTCTCGGCCTCGTTCGTGGCAGCTCCAGACTGCGTGTAGTCGTGTCCCTGGTGGCCATGGGTGTTGCCGAATAGGCCGCGCTCATCATGACCGGCTGGCGGCATGTAGGGTGCGCCTGCTGCGGGTGGTGCATACGGGCCAGGTGGCATATGCGAAGGAGGGTCCCATTGCGTGCGACCAGTTGCTTGCTCAATGTAGAACCATCGTTGGCTGTTCTGGTCCCATTGCTGAGTCCAGCCCGGTGGCATCGGCGGAGGCGCTCCGTACGGCGCTGGTGGACCTGTGGGTGTGGGGGCGCCGCCATAAGGCTGCTGTTGTGGATAGCCCTGAGGTGGGTAACCTTGACCTTGAGGCGGATATCCTTGGGGTGGATATCCTTGACCCTGAGGAGGACCCTGAGGCGGGTAACCTTGGTCTTGGGGAGGGCCGCCTTGTCCACCTCCATAGTAACTATCAGAAAGCGCGCGATCACCGGGGCCAGCACCACCGGGAGCAGCCTGAGAGTCTATCCAAATAAGTACTTCGTCTCTTTATTTGTTATAGAGTTACTTACCGGCTGGCTTCTTGTCGTCGTCATCCATGAGCTCCTTCATCTTCTTCTTGAGGAAATCCATGATGGTATGTTACCTGGCAAATGTGTGGTTGTCTGGCGAGTATCTCTCTAAGAAAACAGTATGTGGGGTAGCAGGAAGCACAGAGAGAAGCGAGTATGGAGCTGATAGTATGCGCGGGGCGCGACAGGACTTTAAAGCAAATGGATCTGTGCACAGTCCGTTGCCAGCGGGGCATCTCACAGCAGCCCCGGAGCGCACTGCCCCAGTTGTCTTTGAGCAAATCACTCATGCTGTACATGCTTGGCCAGATGGAGATGGCATGAGGGGAAGCAGCACGGCTTCGAGTGGAGGGGCATGTCGAAGCTGACCACTCTACTGACAGGCGGGCAGGAAAAGTGGGGTGATGAACCGGCCTGATACGTCTGGCGGCTAGCCGGAGCTCCATGGTTTGCAAGAGTTCTATTAGTGAAGCTTGGCGTGGATATATGAGGGCCGCTTCGCTGCGCGTTCAGTGTCGGGTCGTGGAGATGTGCTCATTGACCTCATGCGACGATCAATCGAGGACAGTTCTGATTGATCTCGGTGTTCCAGTTCTTTTTTCTGATCTGATCGCAGTGCTCAACGTCAATAGTGTAACATTTCTGCTTCAGTATGGAAGCAAGGGAACGTTATTGATAGGCGTGGATGGCACAGCGTGGTGTGGCTGGGATTGGCGACGCATGCGCCATTAATGCCCTGCCACGGTGGCTAAATTTCGAGGCAGTCGCAGCCGAGACGACTTGTGCCCCCATCATGCCACGATATCTGCAAACACGAAGTGTCGCATGCTGCATGATGTCACTCGGAGATGCGATGACCTCAACCATGTTGCACCGCCGCGCATGTTTTCATATTGTCTTCGCAAACGCGGGTGGTGGCAGGCGATAACGGCGAGGCTTCTCGAGCCAACGGAATGCTTTGACTGAGTACGAGACGAATCGGTGACGAGAACAGATGATGTGCATGCGCAGTTGCTTCAAACCTTGATGATACTGTTTGCGCAGCTGATGTGGCAGGTACGGTGATGGGTCGTGTGGGCGCGGCCACAGTGCCTGGAGAGAATGACAGACGGTCACGTGACTATGACTCGAAAACATCAGGTCGGCCCGGGCCCGGACGCGGAACGGTGCGCGCACGTGGGAATGGCACAACAAGCTCACCCATGGTTCGGAGGTGCCGAGAATCAACCGAGAAGTTGTGCAGTGCGATTATCTCGTCTCTCGCGGCAGACGATGAGATGGGTAGCAGGTGGTGAAGAGGAGGGAAGGCTTGGCGATGTTCGCGTACCGTGAGCTGAATGGAGGTACTATCGTTAGAAAGGGGCGACCGACACAGATCAGCACACGGCGGAAAGAAGCATCTATTAGTGTATGCCTAGAAGAGAATTACAAGCTAGAAGAAACCAAGTCGACGATTCCAAAATCTTGGGCTTCTCGAAGTTTAGGTTCAAGGTTGCGACGATGCAGAGGGTCATGTGTTGAATGGGTGCGGGTCTGAGGCTCGAGTCTAGACCCGTCAGATGCATGACGTGGGGACCAGCACAGTCGCGAAAGCAGCGGTGCACTGACGGTCCACAGCATTCCAGCTGCTGCAGATGGCACAGATGGGCATGTCAGAATGCCATGCACGGCGTCATAGCTGTCCAGGGCGTGTCGAATGTGAAGCTAGACACGAGAGGATGGTGAGAGCGATCTCGATGGCGATGGGCTG